ACACATGGGATTTTCCGTCTTTTCTATTTGCCGTCTAAATCACAGCAACAAGCTTATCGAAGCCATTTCTCAGATTCACGACACAAAGTTCGTCAATAAACTTCGAGCTCAGGTATCTTCTCTTTCCCCCTTAAAACCCTAATTTCGACTTGTAATTCGATCTATTAAGTAGAAGTCTCACGCAATTCACATGTTCTTCAGCTGTAGCTCGGAAAAAAATTGGTACTTTATCACATAAAGTTTCGTTTTTTTCTTGGAGATGATTGGGAATCCGGGAATTCAATTTCCGTCATCACTAATGCCATCGTCTTCCATGATTGCTTGCCCTCGAGTTTCTCCCAATGGGCTTCCTTATCTCCCACCTAAACCTAGAATTAGGCATTTAGTGGTCAGAGCTGCATCCAATTCCGACGTCGGACATACGCAACCATTGTCCGGTGAAGGGAAGAATCCGCTTACGGTTGTTTTGGATGTGCCGAGGAATATATGGAGACAGACTTTGAAACCATTGAGTGATTTTGGGTTTGGTAAGAGAAGTGTTTGGGAAGGTGGGGTTGGTTTGTTTATTGTCTCTGGTGCTACACTTCTTGCTCTTAGCTGGGCTTGGTTACGAGGGTTTCAAATGCGGTCCAAGTTTAGAAAATATCAGACTGTGTTTGAGCTTAGTCAAGCATCAGGGATTTGTACGGGAACACCGGTTAGGATCCGTGGTGTGACTGTTGGAACGGTGATCCGTGTTAATCCTTCATTGAGGAACATCGAAGCTGTTGCCGAGGTATGATTTGGTCTGTTGCTTTGATCTTAGTTTTGACAGTGACAATTGTTTCTTGAATTAGGCTCCTGCCATCTTTTGCAGATTGAAGATGATAAGATTATTATCCCTAAGAATTCGCTAGTAGAGGTGAACCAGTCTGGTCTTTTAATGGAGACGTTGATCGACATCACACCGAGGAATCCAATACCGGAACCTTCAGTAGGGCCTCTGCATCCGGAATGTGGTAAAGAAGGTCTGATTGTTTGTGATAGGCAGAAGATAAAGGGAGAGCAAGGAGTAAGTTTAGATGCACTGGTTGGAATATTTACTCGTATTGGACGCGAAGTAGAGGAAATTGGTGTTGCCAATACATATGCGCTTGCTGAGCGAGCGGCTTCTGTTATTGAAGAAGCAAAACCATTGCTCAGAAAGGTGATATGAGTAATTTTGGCGGCCTTTGCTGGATCTAATTTGTTTTATTATTAAAGAAAGATTCAATAGGTGAATATTAAGATTGAATAGAAAAATAAAACAAAATGTATTCTCATGCTTAAGCGTTGGGTTTTGATGTAGTGATGTCACAGATTCAAGCCATGGCTGAAGATGCTCAACCTTTGCTCTCTGAGTTTCGTGAAAGCGGCTTGCTCAAGGAAGTTGAGTGTCTTACTCGAAGCCTGACCCAAGCTTCTGACGATATGAGGTAATAGATCTTAATCACCACCAACCCTTAGCTTTTGGTAATAACCTCGGCAATATTGATTGTACATCTTTGAAGCCATTTTACATAGTCTTCTGAGGAAGTTCACAGTGGAATTGTCAAACTATTCACAACCTCGTTAGGAAAATAGACAATAATGTAGAGAGAAACGCAGTAATTTCGAGTTACTCCATCACTCGGAACTAGGAAAACCAAATTAAATTGCATCTCAGGTTTTAGTACATTCCGTGTAACAAATTACATTACTTAACTGTGTCTATCATAGCTCCATGTCAAATTACGTGCTTTACTCATCATCACTCACTCATTCGATTTGATCTATTGTTTAACAATCTGGAATAGTTGATGATCTTGTTTTGCCGTTTTTATCTTCTGAAACCGAATCCTGCTGTTTCTATCACTCAATGTATGTTCGTGGATGGAGTTGAAACTTGTCTCTGACAAATTTTAATGCTAGTACTAGGACCACATCTATGTCAAATCTCGTTTACATTGACTTAGAGCTAAGCTCTGTGATTAGATAAGTATGGTAGAAAAACTGTGAGAATGTAATCTTCTTGACCGTATTTTCTTTTTCATTTTTTGGTTACATTTCAGGAAGGTTCATTCGTCGATTATGACACCTGAGAATACAGAACTAATCCAGAAGTCAATCTACACTCTGGTTTACACATTGAAGAACGTCGAGGTAAACTTTGTTTCTTTTTATTTAAATGGAGTATAAGATAAGTTAAAAAGAAAAGAAAAAATGTTTAACATGGTTCTTGATTCTTGTTAATTGTAGAGTATAAGCTCAGATATTCTGGGATTCACAGGCGATGAAGCCACAAGAAAAAACCTTAAACTACTCATCAAATCCCTGAGCAGGCTATTATGATCTCAGAACTTTAGTCTGGTAAAACCAGAATCTAAAGGTGAGCAAGTTGGTTTAAAAATGTGTGTGTTCTTCCTTAGAGGGGTTTTGTTTTTTGTTTTTAATTTGGATTGAAAC